GCGGGGGCGGGGGGGGGGGCTCATCCCAAAGGTACCGGGTCTGGGGTGGGGGCAGCGGGACCCCAGCCCTGGGGAGGGGGGTCTCACCTCTGAGGGGCTCTTGCTCTTGTTGCTGTAGGTGAAGAGCTCGTAGAGGAGGACCCCAAAGCTCCAAATGTCAGATGCCCGGGAGAAGATGTTGTCTGCCAGGGACTCAGGCGCGTACCTGCCGGCAGAAGGGTGCTGAGCACCGGATCCGGCCGGGCCGGCAGCCCCATGTCCCCCCGCTGGTGCCACCCTCACCAGAAGACGGGGCTCTGGCCGGGTTCCCGCACCACGTAATAGTCCTTGTCCTGCGGCAGCAGCTTGGCCAGCCCAAAATCCCCGATCTTGACGTGGGTCTCGCTCTCCACCAGGATGTTCCTGCTGGCCAGGTCCCGGTGCACGCAGCGCTGCGCCCCCAGGTACTCCATGCCCTGCGTGGGATGCAGCTGCTCGCTGGGGCCGGGACCCCGCAGCATCCCCGGGGGCTCATCCCAGCTGGACCGCGACCCCCTGGGTGAGCTGTGCCATTGCTCCGGCCCCATCCCAGGAGAGCGGGACCCCCTTTGCCGCCACCCCCCTGCACGGTCCCACCTTGCAGATCTGCCAGGCGTAGAGGAGCAGGGTCCTGTGGTCCAGGCGGGGCTGGTTCTTCTGCAGGTAGTCCCGCAGGCAGCCGTTGGGCAGGTACTCCATCACCAGCCGCAGCCCGCGCCGCCCTGCACGCACATCCATCACCCGCCGGCCAGGATGCGGGCAGAGCCGGGGCCGGGTGCAGGCAGCATTGGTCCCTGCCCACTCCCTGCCCGCTCCCTGCCCGCGCCGTGCTCACCCCGGCTGTAGCACACGCCCCGGTACTGGACGATGAAGTCGTGCTGCAGCGAGTGCAGGATCTGGATCTCCCTCTCGAAATCCTGCAGCTCCTCGGCCGAATCCTGCTGCAGCTTTTTGACCGCCACCAGCTCGCCCGTGCTGTCGCCCAGCGGGTCGTAGCGGCACAGCTCCACGCTCCCAAAGTTGCCCTGGCCGGGGAGAGCCAGTGGGGATGCAGGATGTTGGGGTGTCTCGGGGGGGGTCTCAGAGACCCCCACTGTCTCCCCAGCACCTTGTCCCCCCCAGATCCCATGCACGGGTGAGGCCGTGGGCACAAACCAAGTGTTTCTCAGCTTTGGAGGGCAAAGCATCCTCCCGGGAGCCAGGGATGCTTCACGCCCCAAATGCAGGTAAGGGGGGGTGCAAGGAGCTCGTGCACCGAGTCTTGGGGGACGGGGCCCCCTCTGCCCCCCTCACCTTGCCCAGCAGCGAGATGTACTTGAGGTGCCGCTCCTCGAAGTGCGTGGGGTCCTGGCACATGGCGAGGGGCTCGTACCCCCAGAAGCTGTCCCGGAGCATCGCGTCGGTGGGCGACAGGTCCAAGAGCAGCTCGTAATCTGGGGGAGGCGGGCAGTGAGGGCACCGGGGGGGCCGGAGCCCGGCCCCCCACCGTCCCGGGGCTCACCGGAGGTGATGAGGCTGTTGAGGTCCCGGATGAGGGCGCGGAAGCAGGGCCGGCGGCGGGGCTGGTAGTCCATGCACTGTGCGATGAGCGTGGCCAGCTCCGTCCACTTCGGTGCGGGGAGCTGGAGGCTGCTCTGGTAGAAATCCAGCTTCTGCGGGGGCGGGAGAGGGTGCTCAGGCTGGCTGCGGGGTGCCCGGCCCTGCGCCCCTCCAAGCAGCCTCTGAACAGCCCCCGCACCCCGCACCAGGCTGTGCATCACCCAAAGGTGATGAGCAGAGCCCGGCTGCAGCGGGATGGGGCAGGAGGGTTGGGATGCAGTGGGATGGGGCAGAAGGGTTGGGATGCAGCGGGATGGGGCAGGAGGGTCGGGATGCAGCAGGATGGGGCAGGAGGGTTGGGATGCAAAAAGATGGGGCAGGAGGGATGGGGTGGAAGGGCTGGGGGGCAGGGGGG